ATTTAAGGTGTTTCCAATTTTACTATATTTCTCAAGAAGCTTGACTTTTATAACATCTCTTTCATCATTTTAGGCAACCTTCCCCTTCCTTTTTAAAGGGGACAGCATTAGAAAATAAATGGTGAATTGCCCCCCTAAGCCTATGCCCAGTTTATAAAGAACATAACTGATATTTTGGCCAGTATAAGAAACTCTCCTGGCCGGGTGCGGTGACTCACATCTGTAATCCCAGCACTTTGGGAGGCTGAGGCGGGTGGATGACCTGAGGTCAGGAGTTTGAGACCAGCCTGACCAACATGGTGAAACCCTGCCTCTTCTGAAAATACAAAAAATTAGCAGGGCATGGTGGCAGGTGTCTGTAATCCGAGCTACCCGGGAGGCTGGGGCAGGATAATCGCTTGAACCCGGGAGGCGGAGGTTGCAGTGAACCGAGATCGGGCCATTGCACTCCAGTCTGGGCAACAAGAGTGAGACTCCGTCTCAAAATAAATAAATAAGAATAAACTCTTCCTTTCAGTATCTATTTGGTTTTCCTACAAGTTGGAATAATTCATCTCAATGCTAGTAATACTGCTCTGAAGGTGCATGCGGCTGACTTAAGTATTGCTCACACTATGATGGTTGTCTCATTTTATTAATTCTATGTATTTTATGGTAGGCCTAAATGATAGCTCTGATGGGACCTTATTTAGAATTTTAGTGGTACTGGAAAACTGCTTTCACATGGACTATGGCTCCATAGATAGGTGATGAAATATTATTAAATTAATTAAATAACACAAACTAGTAGGAAATGGAGAAACAGCAAGAATGCCTGACGCTTTGGTGGTCACCAACATAGTTTATATTATAGACAATGCATCTGGGGCCTGCCCACAGTCACAGTAAGGACGTGAAATGAGTATAGAGAATCCAGTTATTTTTTTTTCTCATAAAAACTCAAGTGTTAGATCATTGTGGAAGGGCTTGATTTGATATGACAGGGATTTCTGATAAACAGCATTGGTGACATGAATGCAATAAGCCAGACCATGGAAGACTAGACTGATTATCTGATTTTAACGTTAGATTCATTTTTCTCAGCTTTGTGATGTAAGAAAAACTGAATTGAACTTTAAATATCCTTATACTTTTCTAATTTAGGATAGGAAAATTTCTCAATTATATAACATGGTTAAAAACCAAAACCCTAAAACTTTTGTGTCACGTGAAGACTTTATGAAATCTATACTACTATAGATTAGTAAAATCTATATTGTTTTTAAGGTGACTTCTGATTCTCCAACTGGAGCAATACCTCCAAATCCTTTGCTAATTTTGATATTGAAAAGTGAATTCCAGTTTTCTCAAATCATAGGAAAAACTAGTACATTTAGACTTAGTATTATCATTGACCGCTACATTAATTTTCATCACACTCAGTACTTGATACTTCATGCCCCCTATAAAACATTCTCACTTCACCTTTTGATTGCCATCATCAAGAGAGTACTGCTGAGCTTTATTTTCAATAGCTTTTATAGCTAAAGTAATAGCCCAACTGTGTTTTCAAATAAATCTATTCACTGAGAGATAGATACAGGTTCCTAGAGAAGTCAACATATTTTGAGTTGTTGATGGTGAGTTTTCTTTCTTCAATTATGCTTGGCACGAAAAGGCTCAATAGCCAATTCCTCTGTGACTGGTTCAAACACAAAACTCTATGTTAGCAAAAATTTTTAGCTATTGAAGCCTTCTAGTACTATGACATACACATGAATATGAAACCCTGCTTTCCAATTACATATAGGGCCAAGTATACAAATGTGTTATCAGCTAGAAACAATCTGGCTTCTTTCCAGGAAAAAGATACAGAAACATTTTTTTCTGTATCCAGAGAAAATAACTTTCAAATCTCTGATGCCTAATTCTACTTAAAAGCTCAGTTGCAGGAAAGCATATTCACGAAAGGTTACATGATGTGATAATTACATATTGCATACCTGTATAAAAATCTCATGTAATTCGTAAATATATACACCTACTATGTATCCATACAAAATTAAAAATTAATAAAATAGAGAATCTAAGAATCTGAAAACAATTGCTAGAGTACTTTAGACTTCTGCTCCAATATTTTTTCCTCTGATAGAATTGCTATTCCTGAATGGCCCTTTAGCACTAAAGTTTTCTATTGCATGGAGCCATGTTGGTAGAAAAAAAATAAACAAACATTCTTATTGTTTATTATAAGAATATTAATCAGCTTGTTAACACCTTTATGACCCTCCCATTTATTTTCTTCTGGCACTAAGTTCTAGCAAAAAGCTAACATACTACTAGTAAAGTTAAAATTATTTTAATTATTATTTTAATAATTTAGAAACTTTGGGTCTCATAAATATGTTTACCTCTTGGTTTTGTCTGTTAGGAAGCTTGGTGTCAATTTGTGACTTTATTGTTCCCTGTCCATTCCACCACCCATGAGACATTGTGGATATATTTCTATGCACTTTTTTTTTTATTATTTATCTACTATAATTTTCCTTTTCCTAGTTTTCCAATTTATTTAGGCTTGTCAAGTTGTGCCATATGTATCTCTTTAAGTCACCCTAAATAATTTTTCTGGAATTTTATATTAAATATAATTCAGATACTTTAAGATAAAACTGATAATATTTAGCTATAGTCAATGTACTTGAAATTATGCTTTGTTTGGATAAACTAAAGGTCAAATAATCACTTCATGAGTAATTGACATTTTTATGTATTTGAATATTTGAAACTAGATGTTCAAATATTTTCATACAAAAATAATGTTCTTAGGTCAATGCAAGTGAGAGAAATTCAGCAGATATAAATTAAATTGTGTAAAATTTTAAAAAAATAATAAAAAAGAAATTGACTCTAGACATTCAATTTTCTGCAGTCACATTCCAAATACTTGGAATGACTGGCAACTACATTTAATGTATTGCATTTAAATGAATTTAATTTGGGCCGGGCGTGGTGGCTCAAGCCTGTAATCCCAGCACTTTGGGAGGCCGAGAGGGGCGGATCACAACGTCAGGAGATCGAGACCATCCTGGCTAACATGGTGAAACCCCGTCTCCACTAAAAAATACAAAAAACTAGCCGGGCGAGGTGGCGGACACCTGTAGTCCCAGCTACTCGGGAGGCTGAGGCAGGAGAATGGCATAAACCCGGGAGGCGGAGCTTGCAGTGAGCTGAGATCTGGCCACTGCACTCCAGCCTGGGCGACAGAGCGAGACTCTGTCTCAAAAAAAAAATAATGAATTTAATTTAGTTTTTTAAAATTTTACATTTATCTTTTGAAACAGCAATTGAAACTTATAGCTTGAATCAAGCTCTCCACCTACCAAGAAACCATGAGAAATGAGAATGTACTCAATAGTCATGGGGTTTCATATATGAGAGTTTGAATTTTATGCTAAATTATTAGAATGATTATCATAAATGTGACTGACTTAGATCCGCAGGGCATATCTTTTTCTTTTATGTTTATTATTTTTAAAGAAATAATGAGCACCTTCCAAATAAATTGGTAAAAAAAAAAGTTCTGTAATTTAGATGCAAATGAATACACTTTTTATATGACAAGTAAGAGATTTTAGAGTATGTCATTAACAGCTTAGTGTTTCAAAAGATCTAGATAGGTGATAAATTATCTTTATTCTACAAAGAAAGAAAATAAATTCCAGCTTTCTAAGCTTTGTTTTTTCCTACTAGATCTCAAATTAGCTCTGCTCCTTGACTTTATGAAAAATATTTTCCAGGTAGATTCAACAAGCAGACAATTCTCTAGACTATTCAAGCCTTCTATATGACAAGGATAACCTAGAAACCTTTGCAAAGTTCATTACCTTATAATATTTGAATGATTTCATGGGGAGGCTAATGCAAAAGTACCTCAAGTAATATGTTTGAATGATAAGAAAAAATAAGGCTAATGTGAGTTTTAACCTGTATATACTTTTTCTTGCTATAGTAATCTCATATACGATCCTGAATAACTATAATTCAACATCTTATCTAACATTAAATTTATTCTGAAAGAGAAGAAAAACAATTTAATTCACTGCTATTTATGTGAAAATATTTTATGGAACAAAATATATTACTACTTGTTCTCTGAATCTACATAAAGACGGTTTTCAGTTTGGGTCTCATTTATATGATTGTAAGTTTTTACATAATGTACTGAAAATTTCCCAACTTTGAATCATCTGGATAGCCACATTGAATTAAAAATAAAGCACAAACTTCTTATACATCTAGTTAATTTGGTAACTTTAAAACATCAAGTGGGTGTAAATGGCCTAACACATTGGCAAATTTTGAGGTAAAACACGTTATCAGTATCAGCTATTTTCTTTATATCAACACACTTTCAAGTAATCTGGTAATGAATAAACTTTAAAAAAGTATTAAGCTGTGAGTCTCTTCACTTAAGTTCTAAGCAGCATGAAATGACTGGCCATCAGAGAAAGGGCAAGAATTTAACAGCTAATAATTACAGGAGCCCCTTTGTCATTTGGTGATGGGAATGATAGCCCCTGCATAGACACCTCGAGATTCTTTCTGAAATGCGACTTTGGCAATATGCTAATCTTGCAAGTCCTGTCTAGCCCAACTGTCTTCAATCTCTGTGTCCTTGTCCTCTTCATGACTGTGGGATTCATTTGGGCAGTATCGTCTTAGGCAAGCCAGTATGTTATAGGATCTCATCTCTGGACCAATTTTCAGACTAATGACCTATGTATTTTTTAAGGTCTTATTCATAATTTACTGAACTCTAAGGAAGATTTGGAGAGACTCTTGCTAAAGCTTACCATTGGTTTTATCATGGTCCTGAAAAGCACAGATGAATTTTTAAGAAAGGGAAAATGAAACAATATTTATAATGCTATTATTGCTACATGTTAATACTTCCTTACAAAATCATATTACTATGTGTTTTCACACATGTTCAAAATAACCTTTGGTGATATAGGTTTTACCTTTCCCCAGGCAACTTCAGAATCCAAATTACTAGGCATTCCTTCAACTGCTGATCTCTTTGTCAATTCCATATCTGTAGCTGCCAGCCATTCTGTCAAGACATTCATTTCCTTTCGCATCTTACGGGACAGTTTTAAGCATTTCTCCAACTGTTGCTTTCTTTCTGTTACCTGAAAAGAAGTATAATAAAATGTAATTAGGTTTACTCTGTAATTCAAATTTAGTTATAACCACTTATTTGGAACTTTTATATGTCTTCTATTTAAAATAACTATTTTCTTACAGGTTTTAAAATAATATTTTATAAAATCATATATTCTGAATATTCAGAGTGAATAAAAATTGTCTAGGGCAGATGAGGTCATCTGTCCAAAAAAGAGGGTCTTGTATGTTGTCATGGTAGAAAAGAAAGCTATAAGAATTTTTCTCTAATATAAGATAATTTATGGCCAAAGTTTATGATAAATAAAATGATACAAGTCAAACTGAAGATAAAACTCATTTCTCACTGAAAACTTACTGTCATTTGTCAACAATATGGCAAGAAGGTTTACGATCCTCTATATACAAATGAGGCTTGCTCATGCTGGTAAGGAACCGAAATGCAGACAGAAGATTAATTCTCTCAAAAGGTAAAAGTATTTGTGTAATACCTAGAATTATCAATTGTATCCTCATTGCATCTTTAAAGAGTCTTACATCTGCTCAAAAACAATACAGTGAATAGGTGACTTCCTCCTTAAACACAATTTTGCCATCCAATAGGAACAAAAAGATGAATGCGAAGACAATATTCATCCCCATTAATAGAAAAACTCATGACTTGATCCTGTACTCCTGTTCTCAGTGTTTGATACCAAGACCTCAAAAGCAAATTATCCATATTCTCACATAAGAAATAAACAAATTTGTATTTCTCTACCACCTTGTCAGATGTGCCTATATTGTGTTAATATTTTCAGTTGGTTGGTTTAATAAAAAGCCCAGCATCTCTTTCTACTAAATGCAGTCAAATCATCAACAAAAGCCAGGTAAATTACAATTTCTTAAAGGCAAATCTTCTTGCCTCACACATCTTTAGATTACTCCCCTATACCCCTGAAAGTTCCTTGAACAAAGAAAGGATTTGCTAAATATGCTTTATATATGGAATACAGGAATGAATGAAGACTTGCAAATCATTAATTATAAGTTATAACTGGTAGAATTCACACATAAAGAGTTTAAACTCTTAAAAGTTGCTCCTGGTGCTTTTGTTTGTTTGTTTTTATTGTTGTTGTTGTTATGCATTTTCACTATATATATGTGTATATATATATATTTTTAAACCCTTTTCTGTCATGAAGACTGGGAATCTGAACAGTAGATATAAATATTTGGCTCTGCAGAAACAGCATGATGGAATATAAGTATGTGAGGCTCTGCAATACCTAGTGGACTCACAACTTGAGTATGATTTTTGGCAGAATACCTCATTTTACTCTGTTAACACATCTATCAAATGGGATTATATACTTATTAATAGAACATAGGAATATTCTGAGGGTAAAACCAGACAACATTTTGAGAGAACTTGACATATTGTAAGACCTCAATCCCTTCCTTTATTCTCATAATAAAAAACCGTGCCTGAATGTACAGAGCAAAAGCTTTATTTACATCTATTTTACTACCTTACAGGTAAATAAAACACGGACAAGATTTGGCTTTTGTTGCTAAGAGATCTGAAAGGTAGAGTCCAGATTAATTTCAACTGTAATGGAATCGGTTAAAATACCACCACCAGCATTTGTGCATCATGCCCTAGGCATAATAGGTACCACTGACTGATACATATATATACACAAATAAATATATATATATATATGTCATACATATATCAGTCATATATATATATACAAATATATATATATATATAGATGTGTGTGTGTGTGTGTGGCTGTGTGTACAACCGAAACAAGAATCTAGCTATAAGCAAGAAAAACACCAAAGATGAAAATATGTATAAAGCATCTAAAATGCTACAATCAAAATAAATATTCTGGAACCCTGATAACAATTCCAATTCCAAATAACAAAATTTATTATTTTCTTTAGGAGAGGTGTGTGTACATTTAGAAAACATTTAGTTGCTGAGGCTGTGAATTCATTTATTTAAAACAGATTTTCCCTTCTATTTTTTTTTTCCTAAGTAAAAGCATCTGCCCTTTTGACTGCAAGAATTTTATTGTGTTGTAAGGGTGCATGGGGGGTGGGTGGGAGAAAATATACCTTACGGTGTGTTTCTATGCATATTTTTTCCTATGCACTACTGGTAGAAAAATGATTCCAGATTCAATATTTCAAAGAAATTCTATCTTCCTAGAGCTAATGCATTATTGATTTTTATTTATTTCATTTTGTTTATTTCCAGCTAAATACATTTTTAAAAAACAGGAGACACTGCCATCTTAAGGAAAATTGAGTTTTATACTTTGTGTGTGCATGCGGGGAATGGATACATTTAACAGAATGCCACCTGCAGTAAAATGTTTTAGTAGTCATTGTTTCAGGAAGTTAACAATGTATTTACAGGGTGATATTAGTATTGCTATTTATGTATCTTTCCATAAAAATCAGAGCATAGAGAAATAAAAAGGGATTATAGGTATTATTACATCAATGGTACTAGGTTTAATATCTCTTAATAAATTATATTTCTCTCCCCACTCATCACCATATAAGAATACAGTGAAAATGTAAGACAAGAAGAAAGTACTCTTCAGGAATCAAATGGACCAGCACCTTGATCTTGCACTCCCAGACTCCAGAACTCGGAGAAATCAATTTGTGTTGTTTAAGCCATCAGGTTTATTTTATTTTGTTATGGCAGCTGGAGTTGATTACCCCAAAAAGGTAATGCATACTGAATAGAGGCAGACAGAACCATGTAAATTCTGAAGATGATTAAAACAGAAGGGTTCCTTCTTATATAAAAAGAATAATGTGGCCGGGCGCGGTGGCTCAAGCCTGTAATCCCAGCACTTTGGGAGGCCGAGACGGGCGGATCACGAGGTCAGGAGATCGAGACCATCCTGGCTAACACGGTGAAACCCCGTCTCTACTAAAAATACAAAAAACTAGCCGGGCGAGGTGGTGGGCGCCTGTAGTCCCAGCTACTCCGGAGGCTGAGGCAGGAGAATGGCGTAAACCCGGGAGGCGGAGCTTGCAGTGAGCTGAGATCCGGCCACTGCAGTCCAGCCCGGGCTACAGAGCAAGACTCCGTCTCAAAAAAAAAAAAAAAAAAAAAAGAATAATGTAATAAAATTCCTTTTGTTGCCTTTGCTTTTATCAGACAAAGCTACTGCTGTTGAAAATATTTTGAGTCAAAATGCAGACAATATTTTTACTCTCAGCCAAAGAATACAGGACTTACAGTATTTTTATAAGATGGTATTTATACATGATCCCTCAGTCATAAATGTTTCTAAATCAATATTTACTTCAAAAACAAATTTTTGGCCTATGTTTTTGCTGCTTTCTGTGATATTATGATTTCTTCATACACTTTTATTTTGCTTTAAGGGTACTACTATGTGGCTAATGCTTAGAAGAAACACAAGCTCTCAAATATGTCTTTTCAGGAATAAATAGGGTTTTATATCATTATGAGAATCATTCATTTCTGAATAATCAACCCAGGGCACTATTATTCATCTAATGTCACTTTTATTGTTTTAAATTCTAATTGATTTAGCCTGTTATTTTATGCTAAATTTACTCTTGCAATGATTTTGTAAAAATTCCCTTGACAAATAAAAAGTCCACACACAACTCTATTTTAAAAAGTAAACTGAGAAACTCCCCTTTACCAAAATGTGTATTTTCTTAATTTAAAAAATATCCATACATTATTTTAGTATAAAGTCACACAGGCCAAATTATAAACTGAAAATTTGTAATTTATAATGATAACATACATTTATTTTATTAATTTTAAATTTATAATTTATAATTATAAAAAGAATGTTTCCAGAACTGAAGCTGTAGCATTAGGATATTAGATATTATTCAATCTCCAATACATTTGAGACTAGAGATTATTCAGCCCTTCATAATTGATGTTAAATATGAAATAATTGGCATCAATAAAAATTGATAAGCACTGGAATGAGATATCCAGCGCAGATACAACTTTTCTCTCTGTGGTGATCTTTGAAACAATGATACATTTCTCTAGAGGATACAAAGGTATCTCATTCCAAAGGTACCCCAGTAGACCAAACAAGCAGTTGAAATGTATTTTATTTCAAGATTATCATAATGCTTTCCCATCAATTATCAGTGTTCCTTATTTTGTTTCCTTATTTTGTAACAAAGTAGGAGAATCTTTTGTTATAGGATGGCAACAAACTTGTTTAAAACATACCAAATATAAATTAGAGGGTTTTTAAAATATAAAAATAAGACTATCAACTAACAAAAATGGTTATTTTCAGATTTCAATTTAATTCTAAAATTTACTTTCTATGATAAGGAACTTGCAATTAATATCTTCAAGATATAACCTTCAATCTACTTTCAGGGTGAGATACAAGAAATATGCCTCTCCTTAGCTATTTCTCAAACATGGACATTTGTACTTCTGTCTAAGATGAGGTGACAGACAATTTTATCAGTGATGTTGTTCTATTCACTAAAGTTGAGAGCCTGACTTGTAAAAATGTAACTTTTTATCCTCCATGAAATTCAGTTATTTCAGTCAGAATGAAATTAAAATGTTAGAAGTCCATTTTTGGAAATAGTAAGATATCCGTTCATGGAAAGACATCCTATATTCACGGGTTGGAATAAATAATATTGTTAAGATATCTGTACCACTCAAAGCAATTTACAGACTCGATGCAACCCCTATTAAAATTCCAGTGACATTTTTGGCAGATGTAAAAGAAACAATCCTAAATTTCATTTTGAACAACAAAAGACCCAGAATAGCCAAAGCAATCTTAAGCCAAAAGAACAAAACTGGAGGTATCATAATTACCTGATTCAAAAGTATTCTATAATGCTCTAGTAATTAGAAGAGCAGGATAGTAGTATAAAAACAGACATATAGACCAAAGGAACAGAACAGAGAGCCCAAAAATAAATCCACATATTTATGATCAACTGATCAACCAAAGTGCTAAGAACACACAATGAAAAAAGGACATTCTCTTCGATAAATGGTTCTGAGAAATTAGATATCCAAATGCAGGAGAATGCAATTGGACATTTATCTCACACCATATAAAAAACCAATTCAAAATGGACTGAAGACTTAAAACCTGAACCTGTAAAATGATTTGAAGAAAACAGGTAAAAGCTTCCTGATAGTGGTCTGGGCAAACATTTTTTTTTTATCTGACTCCCAAAGCATAGGCAACAAGAGGAAAACTAGATGACTGTTATTGCAACAAACTAAAAAGCTTCTTCTCAGCAAAAGAAACTATCAACAGAGTGAAGAGACTTCTTACTATCACAATTTTAAACTATCAAAGCTCTAAGTCTATACAGAATATTTGAGTTGAGCGAAGTAAGATAACTATATTAGACATCCCACAGTTTTGGAAAGAGGAGATGTAGGCATCTTGAATTAACAGTGAGATGGAGTGGGGTCATGAGACTCTGATCAGGACAATGATACAAAAATAATTACAGAGCCATAGGTCTTAACTGGCTATCCATGCTATCTTATTAGCCAAGTGTGATAGATTTTGCAAGTCTTGGCCATATGGGGAAATAATTACTATGTAATTTTTATACTTAATGTGGCCTATGTGGAATATGTTAACTACATTAGACCTACTTATACATAGATACAGTTTATAATATTTACCAGTCTTCAAGTCATCACAAGTAGATTTATATAATGAAAATAAGGAGCAATTAGAATAAAAGCACCCTTTTATAACTATCTCATGGAGCAGGAAAAACCTCCCTGAACGTTACATATTTTTCAATCTGAAAAAGCAGAGCTGCAGAGCCTCAATGATTATTGTTTCTTAATGAGAATTCCACATGGAAATATGTGTATATGTTCATCTTTATGTGTGTGTGTATGTGTGTGTGTGTGTGTATATATATATATATAGAAAGAGAGAGACAGAGAGAGAGAGAGAGAGAGAGTTGTTTAGAATTTCTAAGACTCTAATCATACATAATTTACTTCCCCTTGCTTTACAATTTATAAGGAAAGTGGAAAGAAGTGTTTGTGGTCTCAGCATGCACACACCTTTGCTCCCAGCTCATTATAATGCAGTTTCAAAGCTGTTACTCTTTCATCGAGTTCTTTGGGATTTTCCGTCTGCTTTTTCTGTACAATCTGACGTCCAGTCTTTATCACCATTTCCACTTCAGACTTCACTTCACTCAGACTTTTATACAAGTTCTAAGTTTAAACATAAAACAAAACATAATAATCAGTAGAGTTAAAGTACTTCATAATATTATTAACAGAAAGAAATAGAGATTCCCTTAATTGCTAGTCCATGCTTACAATTTTAATATAGTAGCATTTTGTAGCAGTGGTCAATATCTAGCTTTTGCATTTTCTGTTGATTTAATATTTCTATTTTTAATTGTCTACACACATGCAGATAGGTGTAATTTGCAGCTATTCTTATTAAACTGAGAGTTAATCATATATGTGTGTCTTGTGAGATACATATATATATGTATTTAGTTCTTCAATGAACATAAATGTCAATTCTGAATTTTACATGACTTCTATTTTAAATGTTGGAGTTATATAATTCTAGCCATAAATTTGGATGAATTAATTCACTCATTCATCAGGTATTTATTGAGTGGTTACTATGAACCAGATAGTATCTGAATCACTGGGAAGTCAGTGGTGGCCAAAACGCACACATTCGCTGCTGTTTTCATGGTACTTACATATTAGTAAGGTAAAACAACTAAATTTCTAGATCATAATTTTAATATATATTGTATCATATATAACAAAGTGAGGTCATTTTCAATGTTAATTAAATTACTCAAATTTGTTTTCTTCGAAGGGCTGATGAAAAACATAAACAGATATAAAAATATTATTTACAATTCACATGTACATCACAACTATAAAGTACACGCATATTGTTTCACAAAAATAGGTTGCTACAAAAAAAGCATCATAAGACAAGTGTCATAACTCTGAAAGACAGCTATGTGCACAATTATATCACCAACACCACTCCAACACCACTTGATGTCTTAATTTTGCTTTGTAACTATTTTACTAGAAATATATGTGTTTGTATGTGTATGTCCATGTATTCAAATATATATGTGTGTATATATGTATACATATATATATAATAGTTTACATTATGTATCTCTGCTTTAATTTGCTTAGTCATAAATCTAAACTATCAGTACTTATTTTAGTATTACCAAAAAATAAACTTGCTAGTAGGTAATTGTTTTTATGGAATTAGAACAAAAATCAGGTTTATTTATTTATTTTTTCAGTTTAAAAGTAAGGTCTAAAACAAAACATTTTGTAAAGGCTGGGCAATTATCTGATTGTCACATGCCTATTTGCATATTAATCCTCTCTTTGGCAACTGATGTTAACATTCCTTTATTACCAATAATTATGACTTTTGTCTGAGCTTTCCAGATGATATTTTTTACTTCATTTTACTCTTGTCTTAGAAGATATAAAAATATCTGTGTATCTGGAAACACGGAAATTAATTATTATGTTGAAAATCAACTATGCTAATTTGGAATCAGAGATTTTTCTAAATTATTTACTCTCTGAACTTCAAAAAAATCTAAATGCTTTATTTTGATGATGACAGTTCCCTCAAGGTACTGTTAGCCATTAACATCATTTCATTCAATAGGCAAATAAAATATTTATAAACAAAGAGGAGAAATATTATTTATATTTGTGTTCATGCCAGTAAGACTTTTATAAATAGACAAACATTTCTTGAAGGCAAGACTATGATTATGGTATATACCACAAAGCATCTTAAATAATGAAAACACTAAACAGTGTAAGGATATTCTTATGAAAAAACTGCTTGAATTGGTCCTGACATTTAAACCAGAACCAGAAGCCAATTCAGCAAGTGCCTTGAGCAGTTTCCTTCATACTGACACAGGGCACAGTCATAGCTGGACACAGGTGAGATTGTTCTCAGCTCATATTTACTGGTAGATATATTTTATAAGGTAACATTAGAGATCTGTTTCTAGAAAAGAATGAAAAGTGCTCACTTTGCAAATATTAGTCATGAATAATGTACTTGGGTCATTTATGTGTTTTTTTTTTGCAAAATTTAAGATGGGATATATTCCCATATATTCCTATTCTTATTCATCTAATATCAATCAATGAACTACTTTCTATCATTTCTAATCCAAGTTTCTTTCTGGGGGTGGGAATAATTAACATAATTATATCACAAAAAATGAAGCTTGAGTTATGAAAATATATTATTGAATAAGAATACCTCATATTTTTCACGAACATGTATTTAAGATATTTGTTAAAAAGAAAAATATTTTCCCAGTCATGATGATATGACTACAATGTATCTGAAGTAATCTGTTTTTCATTGATATTATGGAGTAGATGTAGAAACACTATTTAAAATACCAAGTACTAAATAGACTAGTTTTCTCTTTAATGTTAACAACATTCTGTGTTTTCATTTTATGCGACTTTCTACTCTAGTGGTCGATAGTACATGTAGAGTTATAATAATACTTATGTTACTCTAGTAGATGCAATTACACCTCAGCTTTATATTTTCAGAGGAATCATCTTAGTTGGTCAACTTCCAATAATAGCAACATAGGACACCGCTCAATATTACAAAGTTTAAATCAGATTTATGCTATAAGCTATTTGTACCTTTCCATGCCTTTTAATTCTGTGTTGTCTCGTGGCATTTCAGTGTATATCCAGTACTGGTGTTTAAAGGAAAGTTATTAAGGTTTGGAATAAGAGTACCTGAATTGGAATCTTGCTTTGCCATTCACCAGCTGTTTGTCCTTAAATTCTCTAAGGTAATCAGCCTTAAGAATTAAAGGTGGCTTCTGTATGCCATTTAGCTTACTTGGCATCCATTATTTATGGAGTTGTTAGGATTATTGGAAGTACTGTTGTTACTATTTTTACATTAATATATTTCCTTTCTAGATTTCCATTTAAAATATATTTAAAGAATCATACAAGTTAAACACAAGCAACATCTTTTTACATTCTGCACAGTTCTTAGGAGAATTATAGATTCAAAAAAGACACACAGAATAGGCCACAATACATGTGCCAATTTTTGTTCTCAATCTTAAAATTATATAGTATAATTATTATGGTTATCTGAAAACAATTTTTTATTATAAAAGAGCAGATACTTCTTAATGAGGAAAGTCAAGGGGTACACCTGCATATTTGCCAACAGAAATACATACCACACAATGATTTAACTGTGACTGTACTACTTCCTGTTCCACACTCTTGGTTTCCAACGCAGGCAAGTGCATCTTCACTTCATCTAAAATCATCTTACTTTCTTGTAGACGCTGCTCAAAATTGGCTGGCTTCTGAAATAATCGAAACTTCATGGAGACATCTTGCAATTTTTTCTGTAAGGACAGTGTAAAAAGGCACTGATTTAATTTTGCCTTTCAAACAATAACTGGTCATATTTTTATTAATAGTTTTGCCCTTATTTCTGAAGGTATACAGAAAAATAAAAACAAAATAAAGCAATATTTTTCCATTCATCCAACACGAGAAAACCTACATTTGGGAGAATAATTCAGCAGTTTTTTCTTAATGTTATAATAAATAAAAGGTAATTAATTAACCTATTTTATCTTTAAAATGTAGAAAGCAAAAAACTCATTGTTTAGACATCAAATTGTAGTTTTCAAATAATGTCCTCAAATCCAATCTTGCCAATAATCAAGTTGTCTAACATAGACTGGATTATGTTATAATGCCAAACAAAAATATGTTCCTTAGTTTTGGAAATGAAATATACCTGTGCAACATCAATCTGAGACAGGACTCTTTGGGCAGCCTCCTTCCCCTGGTTATGTTTCTTCATTTCTTCTAAACTGATCTCATGACTTGTCAAATCAGATTGGATTTTCTGTTGGGAGGATAGCATTATTAGTTAACATGCTCTACAAAGAATAACTTTCCAAGAAGACGAAATTCAGAAACTCTCCTAAACCATCACTACCATGTAGCTTCCTTTAAAGCGACCATAAATTGGCCAAGAGTGGTGGTTCATGCCTGTAATCCTAGCACTCTGGGAGGCCGAGGCAGGTGGATCACCTAAATGGAATTATCGTAAATATTTTTTACTTTCATAAATTACCAAAAGTGAAATGATTCATTTCTTCCTTAGGGGATTATTATGAGAAAAGCAATAATCATTTTGAGTCAATAACAACTATTTCAGATATCATTTTCAATAGGCAATTTATATCTTATATGTATAATTGATATGTTTTATCTTTGAAGTTACACTCAAATCTGACCAAAGACAAGATGTTAACCTGTAAGATTCAGCTAACTGTGACAGGGATGAGATATAATGAGAAAATTGCATGTGGAAAATACTCCTTAATCACATTCTTTGTATTTTATTTTATTTCATTGTACAGGCAGGGTCTTGCTAGGTGACCCAGGCTTCTCTCAAAATCCTGGCCTTAAGCAATTCTCCTGTCTCAGCCTCCCACAGCACTGTGATTATGGGCGTGAGCCATCGTGCCTGGCCTTAGTGTTGTTTAGTCAGTCATCATGTGCCATATTTCAGTTAAATTTCAGGGAAGCTATGAATTTAATAAACGGAAGTTAAATGCCCCAAATGGGTATTGTTATTTGTCTGATAGATATTTGATGACTTCCTACAGATACTATTTTGAATTTTAGATAACTATAAAACATTTCAATATTTATATATTTAATACAGACATTTTTCAGCAAGTTCTACTGTAAAGTATATTCTACATTTAACATACGAATTTCTGAGCCAGTTATAGGCATGGATCTCTGCAGCATGTGGATACCAAAACAATACATTTATTTATTTATTTCTGTCAAATTCATAAAAATCAGCTAGTGGTCAAGTCATTCTAATTTAAAATTCAGTTATTATTAGATTATTATAATTTAGAGAAGAAACTAAGTTATACCAGAGTGCCCATAACATTATCATGTGGATCATTTTGTATAATGCACATTAGTGTAAGTGAATTTACACCAATTGGAGTAAATTCTGATACATATCATTAGAAGATAACATCAGTTTTGCTTAGCAGTTTCCAGAGAGAACTATAGCCCGGAACTGAGTAATGAGAATTATACCAAGAAAATGGGCTAAGTGGTTAAGGAGCTGTTTATGCAAGGTTATAAATTCACAGATCTAACTTAATATTATTCCTTAGAATATTAATCCTAACAATTATAGAGACAAATTAATTATGAATTATCTAAATGGTTAGAATTCTGCCTTAAAACAAATGAGAGAATACTCATATAAATGTATCTTATTTTATTACCATATACATGATTTTCTTTGGTTGAACAACTACCTTGTGTAAGAAATACTGATACATTCTGGGAACCTAGAATCTGGGAGTAGGGATCCATCTAGGTGCATGACATTATTTATAGAGCAAGGAACATCACAGAATCTATAAAATTTGATAGAAGTATGCAGGGTGGAGTAATGCTCGTATGGAGGATGTCACAAGGGAGTTGATGATGTTAAAGTAGAACTTTGAATAATTAGTAAGCATTGCTGGGAGTAACAGATGCTTTAGAGGGGTTATGACCAGGGCCTTTCATCCTGGAAATGTTAATCCTCCTCAAAAAGATGGGCCAATAACAACCATGTCTGGGCCACATAATTCTGGACAACTCCATGTTATGGGTGATCAGAATGTGGAAAATGCTTGTGTCAAGAGAGAATCATCAGAATTTCTCTCAGAAAATTAGAATTGACAGAAGAAAGTCTGGTCAAACTGTGAGTGCTTGGAATTGTGTCACATATGCTAACAAATTGCGCTTCTGAAATCCCTAGTTTGCAGAGTGGATTGAGGAAGAGCAAAGGTCCATGCACAGAGAGAGAAGAAAGAAGTAGATGCATAGGGAGTAAGGTGGTAACAAAAATATTGAGAGTTTCCAATAGCAGGCTGCAGTCTGTTTTTTTGTTTTTTTTTTTTTTTTCTTTTTTTAGATGGAGCCTCGCTCTGTCACCCAGGCTGGAGTGCAATATAGGAGTTGTAAAAACAAAAGCATTTCTGGTTGAACAGAAACAAGGTATGGAGACAGGGTGCTGAAGAGCATAAGGAGTTTGGCAAAAATATAACAAGAAATGGAGGTAGAAATCAGGTACTAAATAATCTTATGCTCCAAATGAATGGTTTCCACTATTTTGATCATGCAGATGAATTTCAAAATTTGAAATTGATCATAATCACAGATAACAATAGTTTTATTGCTAATGTTTAATCTAATAACTAAGGAAATTCATAGGAAGGAAATGCGACTGCAAATCAGCAGTATGTTGAAGTGAGTTTGCATTTTAATAATCACTATGTGCATCTATATATAGAGAGAGAAAGGGAAACAGTATATTTGTATAATATGTATTTTTTTTCAGTGTTTTCAAGTGTTAGAGGAAAGCAGGAAGAGAGAGCAAATCGAGAACCATGGAGAACACAGAAATTTAACTGACATGGAAAGAAAAGCACCAAATAAATAGAAACAACAGTCAAAGAGAAGGAAAAGAAGAACTAGAAAAGAGAGAAAATCTCACATCAATTGATGTGAGAATTTTAAGAATGAGAGAGAGAGGTTAACAGTGTCAGTTTCAGATAGTTTCAATGGGATCAATAGTAATCAGGGTACATGAGGTGGTCAACGACCACTGGAGCTAGAAAAGAGGCCATGGATGATGAGAGCAAAAATCATATTTTCAAGGGCTGCCCTGATTAAGGAACAAGGAGCATTCTTACAAAAACAGTTTAAATTACTTTTGCAGACTTTTGTCTCTACACTAAAATTCAGGTCAATCAGACTTAAACATACTTTAAGGCTACATGAAAGGAGCCAACAGATAAAGTGATTTTTTTTTTTTTTTTTTTTTTTTTTTTTTTTAATGTAAGAAGATAATTGGTTAGGAAAAAAACCCTGTTTAAAGCAAGGAAACCAGAGTGAAGCACAAAGCTCAGGGCCAAAGGAAAATATTAGCAGGAGTAGAGGTGGCTCTTTCTCAGAAAACAAAAGATGTGAATATGCAAGAAGTTGAATGCTTCCTACTTGGTGCTCTCCGAGTATCAGGGTGAAATCATGTTAACATTAATCATGATTTAAATTTCAGGGCTCTCTCTTGCCACCTTGGGCAAAGCATCAACATGTTCTGAACCTCGATTTCCTCATGTCTAGCCCAAGAATGATAATAACAAGCCAGCAATGAGGTTTTCTTATCTGAGAAATTCTTATTTCTTCAGTAGTCAACTACATTGGTTTTGGTCAAAAAGATCAGATGTGACAGTATATGTAAAAATACCTGTCCATGTTGTTTGCACAAATATTTAGTTATAAGTTATCAGTGATATAACATGTCATTTCCTCATAAGCACAAAACCCTAGGTATCTGCTGAGGATGAGAGGAGAGAATCAAGGTGGAGTTTAAGTCAAAGTGATGAAAGTTAAATAGCAATTGTGGTTACTGTGAGAGGAAACTGATGGGGAAAAAATGAGAATATACTCAGAGAGGGTAGAGGATCCAAACTACACCTCTGTAATCATATCTGTGTACATGCATTTAAAAGTTTTTCCATCCCTTTAGCCTCCAAGGTTAGTAGAGGAAAAAATGAAGTATACACATAGTCCCTTAACCTTTTATACCAGAGGTGTCAAAGAAGAGCAAACAAAACATAAAGAAAAGAAATCATCAGTATCCTCACCACTGCAGACATTTGCGTGAACTTATGCACTAACACTTTATATAATTCATTCCATCTCTGAATCATATTAACAGAAGTATTTATCATCTTCATTTACGAATGAAGTAGAAATGTCAACAAACCCAAGGTAAAATAACTATGAAGTAACAAAGTTGCTGCCATTTGAACAATTATATTGCCTCTTTAATTATGGTTTTAAAATAAAAGTATCCTCCAAATAGACATTTGTGGGGGAAAAAAAGAAATTTAATCTTATTTATATGTTGATAGCATTTAGTTAATTCAATTCAATACATTGTTCAGCTTCTACTACTCAATTCCACACAGTGAGAACAAAACCGTTGCCCCTATACTTACAGAAGCTTTATTTTGAGAGGCAGAATGTAGATATATAAGTAAATTACAAAGCAGAAATATATGTAATGTAATAGAAAAACTAACATCACACACCGGGGCCTGTTGTGGGGTTGGGGGAGGGGGGTGGGATTGCATTAGGAGATATACCTAATGTAAATGACGAGTTAATGGGTGCAGCACACCAACATGGCACATATATACGTATGTAACAAACCTGCACATTGTGCACACATACCCTAGAACTTCAAGTACAATAAAAAAATTTTTAAAAAGAAAAACTCATGCTCTGTGATCAGAAAGATAAAAATTAATATCTGCTGTATAATCTGGTGATTTTTAGGAAGTCGACATAATTTAACTAGCATATGGCTGAGAAGGGGTTTTGGAGGGTCAGAAAATAAGAATATAGGATCTCATTTTAGGCTGTAGGAAACAAGCTAGCAAAGATTAGGCTTGGGGCATCCAGAGTGTGTGGGTTTAATTTAACGGAAGGAAAGACTGTGAGTCAGTAAGAATTACTATCCAGATAAGGAATTAGTATGAAGCTATAGAACCTTAAGTTTCAGTGCCTCTCACTTGCAAGAGACCCTTCTATAATCCAGCATTTAATTTTCTATTTATAATTTTTTCTTCATAGACTGCCCCTGGAAATTCTAGAAGCTTGGCATTACAAAGCAAAGCCAAGATAGCACAAGTGATCATCGCAACGCAGGCCTTTCTGATAAGTTCCACATTTTCCCAAATGAGCCATATTGTTGTCATAAGTCATAAATAATGGGGACAACAATAACTTACAAACATATAAACAAAC